GAGGCTGGATCAGACGGACCATCGTTGTCCTGCTATGACCCTTTGTAGCGCACCGAGGGCTTGTGTTGGTCGCTAGTGAAGACACCTATTGACACCGGCTCTCGGTCGGATGCCGCCTTCGCAAGCGCGTCGGCGCCTCATTGAGGCGCCTTGGGATGTGATTGAGTTCGAGGCCGTCGAATTTGTCCTCCAGCCATCAGACTTCTTGGCAGTACGCAGCCATCTTGGCATCGTGATAGCTTGACTCCTTCATGACTTGGTTGACGACCAGCTGGGAATCGCCTCGAATGTCGAGGCATCGGATGCCCAACACGATGGCAATGCATAGGCCGTTGATGAGCGCTTCATACTTAGCCACATTATTGGATGAGGGGAAATGGAGACGGACCATGTACCTCATGCATACCCCAAGGGGCGATACGAAGACCAGCCCCACACCGACGCCCTTCTTCATCAGCGATCCGTCGAAGTACATCGTCCAGTACTCTTGATCGACGACCGTCAGTGGTGTTTGGACCTCGGTCCATTCCACGATAAAGTCAGCCAACACCTAGGACTTGATCGCCGTCCGGGAGGCATACATGATGCCCTGATCCATCAACTCGAGTGCCCACTTTGCAGTTCTTCCCGTGGCGTCCTGGCTTTGGATGACCTCACCGAGGGGGTACGACCTCACGACTGTCACCGAGTGTGACTCGAAGTAGTGGCGTAGCTTCCTCTTGGTGATGAGGACGGCGTACAGGAGCTTCTGGATTTGGGAGTAGCGGGTCTTAGAGTCGGATAGTACCTCGTTGATGAAGTACACAACGCGCTGCACCTTGAGGGCATGCCCCTCTTCTGCCCGTTCCACTACCAAGGTGGCGCTGACCACTTGTGTGGTGGCCGCTATGTATAGCAGAAGGGATTCTCCATCGGTTAGAGGAACCATGATCGGGGACTTTGTTAGAAGCAGTTTGACCATGTCAAGCGCCTCCTGGGCCTCAGATGTCCATTCAAAGCGGTCAGCTTTCTTCAATAGTCGATAAAGGGGGAGACCTCGTTCGTCGAGGCATGAGATGAATCGGTTGAGTGCGGCGAGGCACCCTGTGACCCGTTGGACTCCCTTTCTATTCTGAATCGGGCCCATCTTTGTGATGGCTGAGATTTTCTCTGGGCTGGCTTCGATGCCACGCTCGGAGACGATGAAGCCGAGCAGCATACCCCTTGGGACCCCGAAAACACATTTCTCGGGATTGAGTTTGATGCCGTTGGCTCGGAGTTTTGCAAAGGTCTGCCCAAGATCGGCAACGAGGTGGTCGGCCCATTTGGACTTAACCATGATGTCATCAACGTAGGCCTCAATGGTCCGCCTGATGAGGTCTCCAAAACATTTGAGCATATAGCGCTAGTATGTAGCCCCAGTGTTCTTCAGACTGAACGGCATTGAGACGTACCAGAACGATCCGAAGGGGGTGATGAAAGATGTCGCGAGCTGGTCAGACTCTTTCATCATGATCTGATGGTACCCGGAGTATGCATCAAGGAAGCAGAGGGTTTCGCACCCCGAGGTAGAGTCGACTATTTAGTCTATGCGTGGCAAAGGAAACGGATCATTTGGGCACGCCTTGTTGAGACCTGTATAGTCAACACACATCCTCCATTTCCCACTCTTCTTTCGTACAAGAACAGGATTAGCTAACCACTCTGGGTGGTATACTTCCTTGATGAATCCGGCCGCCGATAGTTTTGCTATCTCCTCGCCGATGGCCCTGTGTTTCTCCTCGTCGAAGCGACATAGGCGTTGCTTCACCGGCTTGGAAACTCGGTGGATCTTCAAGGTATGCTCAACGACTTCCCTCGAAATGTCTGGCATATCCGAGGGTTTTCACACAAAGACATCTTTGTTGCCGCGGAGGAAGTCGACGAGCGCGCTTTCCTATTCGGAGGAAAGCGTGGTACCAATGCGCACCATTTTGCCTACGGCGCTCCCGGTATCTATGAGGACTTCTTTAGAGCCCTCTACCGACTCGAATGATCCAGTCAACTTCTTGGCGTCGGGCGCCTCTTAGGTGACTTCCTCCTTGAGGGCGGCGAGTTCCCCGGAGGCGACGATTGCTGCAGCGTGACCGCAGCACTTGACCTCACAATCGTAGGCGCACTGGAAGGACAGCAGTCTAGGGAGGACCAACGCATGCCAAGAGCTCGGTTGCTGCTCAGCTGTGTGTTATGTGATGCGTTGTGTGTAGGATTGATTCGTCCCCTTAGTGGGGTGCCCTGCCCTCCCTTTTATAGACCAAGCGGGAGCAGGGGTTCTTGATGGGAGAAAGAGGAAAAAACCAGAGGTAGAGAAGGTCCTTCGAAGGTGCTGGGTCTTCCTTTTCCCCTGAGCCTACCCTACTGACATGGCAGACGATGCCAGGGATAGCATATTCACTGATCCTAATAGGGTCATGCTCTGGCTTCGTTCAGCAAGTGGCCACGTCCCATCCTACTCTGGTGGACGGTGCGGCGTGCTAGGGTGCCGAGACATGACCCTACATGGAGCAGACAGGGAAGTGACCATACGTCCGTTACTGTAGACGATGTGAGTTCCCTCCTGGATTGTAGTGGTTGTTATATGCTTATGTCAGGGTCTACGTTGGAGGGCTGATGGCGGCGCCCACAACACTGTAAGACAAAAGGTGACGCCTACAACACTGTTTGAGCCCTGCCATGCCTAGAAGGGCTTAAAGCGCCCGTCCCGTCATATCCTGACGATACTTTCCTATAGGCGTGCAGGGTATGGTCCTCGGTATTGCGGTTGACTTGAGTGTCCTGTCTTGCCCCGTGCTCATCATCATGAAGGAGCAGGATGCAGACGTGGGGTGAGGCAGAGCCAGCCCTTAGACGTCGGGTGAGGCGGAGCCTGCCCCCAGACGTCGGGCGAGGCGGAGCCTGCCCTCGGACGCCAAGCGAGGCGGAGCCTGCCCCCGGACGTTAGGTGAGGCGGAGCCAGCCCCCAGACGTCGGGCGAGGCGGAGCCTGCCCTCAGACGTCGGGCGAGGCGGATACAACCCCCGGACGTCGGGCGAGGCGAAGCCAGCCCTCAGACGTCGAGCGAGGCGGAGCCAGCCCCCAGCCGTCGGGTGAGGCGGAGCCAGCCCCCGGTCGTCGGGCGAGGTGGAGCCTGCCCTCGGACGTCGGGCGAGGCGGAGCCAGCCCTCAGATGTCGAGCGAGGCGGAGCCTGTTGTCGGGCGAGGCAGAGCCAGCCCTTAGCTATCGGGCGAGGTGGAGCTAGTCCCTGGTCGTCGGGCGAGGCGGAGTCTATCCCCAGACGTCGGGCGAGGTGGAGTCTAGCCCTCGGAGGTCGGGCGAGGCGGAGCCAACCCTTTGGGGCCGGGCGAGGCGCAGCCAACCTTCGGTTGTACGGGCAAAAAGTGTAGTTGCGTTCTTGTCTGTTCGGAAGCATCAACGTTTGATGGTTATTAGCTCCACCTCTATGGGTACCCCAATATTTGGTCCCCGACAGTATATGTCTTGTTACTTGACATTTATCATGGAATGTCTGTTAATCCAAGGATGACACACATCTGTACAGTGGAAATTAAATTGATTAGGAAACAATGTAAGGGTAGGGATGAAAACGGTATGGATATTTTCCGACCGTATTCGAAACCGAATTCGTTTAGAGAGGTTCAGATCTATCCGTATCCGAGTCTGGATATGCAACATCCGATACCGTATCCGTATCCGAATACTCAAATCATATATTTGTGATGTCGACACCTAATAGTATCTTATCCGACATAGTTGATATTATCCGTATTCGAATCCGAATCAGAACAGAAATATGAAAACAAATATAATATCGGTGATATCCGTCCGTATCCGATCCGTTTTCATCCCTATGTAAGGGTATATGTGTTTTTTGTATTGTCAATATTTCTTAATATTTTTAGGCTACCCTATATTCCCAGACGGAGAGAGTAGCATATATAATAGTTATGGGTTCATTTCTAATAGACTACAAGAGTGCTGGATATTAAAGGGATGCAATAACATTTTTTTGGTAAAGAAAGTTTTTATTACTTTTTGAAGAGCAATACATCGAGTTGATACAAAGCTTTGAAAAAAACTACTTCCGACCTCTGCTTTTCAAGCACACAACCACGAAAGAGCAATAACATTATATAGGGTGCACAACTAATATTGACTAAAATTATACCTATTGGTATCATGCATTTCAAGGAACCTGCCGTTGGATACAAAAATATGACCGGCTGATTGGTACTACTACATTAGAGCGGCACTTCTTCCAACATGTTACATCTTTCTGGATGTAAAATCCATGTCTCCTTAGAATTGCTGTTATTATGTTTTTATCATTTTCATGAATATCATGGGCTTACAAGGGAATTGTCCACCACAAATATAGGGATAGGCAAAGCCCCATGTTCTTTTTTTTTCTGGATTATTTCAAAATATGAAGGCATACACGCATGTGAAGTCATATGAAACTTCTGTTCAATTGAACTTGCATTTACGTGGATAAGCTCTCGTCTCATATCCAATTATTTAAGTCATATTCTTTCACAAGCAGTGTCATGACTAAAAGTAGTACCGGTTGGTGTTACCAACCCGGACTAAAAGTCCTCAAACATTTAATCCCGGTTGGAAACACTAACCGGGACTAAATTGTGACATTTTAGTTCTAGTTGGTGTCACCAACTTGGACTAAAGGTCTTCCACCCGGGACTAAAGGTTCCCACGGGTTAATTCAAAAGGAGAGTGCCCAGGACTCTATCACATGTGGTGTGCAGTTGAGTTGGTAAGAGACCTAAGAGGTCTCTCAGGATTTAAACTATGTTTTTAGTTCCAATGGGTTTTAATCCCGGTTCCATGAGTCAGGATTAAAGGTCACGGCCTTTAGCGGGACTAAAGTCAGTTCCCAACCGGGATTGAAGCCCACCTACGCACTAGTGCCTTGTACGAATTTTTTTATTAAAAAAACAAAAACAGCCTCCACCGGTGACCCAGTCCACTAAACTGCCTACACAAAAAGCAAAATTAACTTTGGACATTAGAAGTTCAGTTTTGCCTAGGTCTAAGTCAGATTTGGAGGGGGGAAACCCCTAGATCTTCCTAGAATGCATACATTCCATGTCATAACAACGGATCCCAACTCGCAAGCTACAGCGAAAGCATAGGAGAAGCAAATAAGGCATAATTCATTATGGAACTTTGTCATGACCTACAATTGTTCTAAAATGCATACTGAATGGATTAAAATGGATACTGAATGAATGCAAACATGTATATACATACACATACACTACTAAAAAAAGATTTTAGAAGACAACCTCTCCGATTAATAGAGATGGGCACATCTAGGGACCGATTTTATAAATGGTCAGGAAGCCTCCAATCAAATGTCGGCCTCTCTTAATCATTTTCATATGACGACATCCTAAGGTAATTCACCGTCTCTATTTAACAACTATTAATAGAGACGGACGTACTAAGGCTTTAGTCTCTGTTAATTGACTAACAGATGCCTTCCTCTGTTAATAACTATTAATAGAGGCAGACATCCTTACTGTCCATCTCTAAAAATCAATACATAAGTAGTCATTCTAAGGGTCATCTCTAAAATAGTTGTATAAAAAATCATAACTTTTTCAAATGAATTCAAATTTATACCGAAATTGTGGAGCTTGACGCGATCTACAACTTTCTAGTTGATAAAAAAACATTTTATTCAAAATTGATTAGGGTCCCAAAATTTGTTTTAAGGTCTTAGATTTTGAAATTTAAAATTTTAAACAACCTTAGATGTTGAAATAATATACGCACAAGTTGTAGTTTTCAATATGTTCTAGTGTTCTACAACTCTGTAGTTATCAAATTTTTTATTCGAAGTTACTTAGATTGTAAATGATAGTTTTATGTTCTAAGATTTCAAGAATTAAATTTAGAAATTTCAAACAGCTTTGCAGTTGTCAAGTTTTTTATTTGGAAATATTTAGAGTCATTTCAAAATTCTTAGATTTTAATATTCTAGTATTTGAAATTTTAAAAATATTTGAGATGGAGACGCATCCTTTATTAAAATTGTAAACCTCGACAAGACCTAAAACTTTATAGTTGAAATATTTTTCATTTAAAGTCATTTATGGGCTGAAATATCCAAGACAGAATTATGAAATGTTGATAAAAAATATAGCGCCCTATACGCATACTCACAAATGAGTATGTTGTACGTGCTGAAGGTCCTGGTTTGAACTCTCAAAGACACTATTTTTTGTTTTTGTTTTTTTTGAAAATTATGGTCATGCGCGATCATATTAACACGCTTGTCGTCTCTATAAATAATATCCATGAAATTATTTATTAGAGGTATTGGTTTGTCCATTTCTAAAAAAAAACACCCGACTATAAAATCTTCTACTCCTGATATATATGCAGTAGTGATATATGCTCGCACCTGAAACGTAGCACAATCAAAGTTGCCGATCTCAAGCTCCCTGACGCTAGAAAGGGCAGCGAGCATGCTCCCGTAGTCCCTCGGCTCCTGGGCGTTCAGCGTGATGTTGGCGTAGTCAAGCTTGGGCAGGTGCCCTAGCTCCCAGGAGCCGGCGCCGGCCATCGTCAGGCGCAGCTCCAGCCACCGGAGGTTGGGCGCCTGGATGATCCACGCGCCATGGACAGGGAGGCCCCCGCCGGGGGCGACATCGTGGAAACCGATGTTCGCCAGCCGCAGCTTCTCCAGCGTGGGCGCGGCTGCCGAGATCATGGCCTCCAGCCGCTCCCACCCCTTCTCACCAGAGAACAGGACGAAGTCGAGGTCCAGCGCGGTCAGGCCGCGGAACCCGGTGAAGGCGGGCGGCGGCGGCGGCAGCACGCAGGTGACCAGCTTGAGCTCGGCCAGCGCGGCGGGGTTGCAGGCGAAGAGGGACGGGAGCGGGGTCATGTCCAGCGCCAGGGACAGCGACCGCAGGCTCTTGCCTGCGACGGTGCGCACCCAGCCATCGGCGCGGTCGGACAGGCGCAGCGGGATGCCGCGGATGCTGACGCCGCGGACAGGGGCCGCGCACTGCTCCAGGAATCCCGCCGCGGACTCCCAGTCGCGGACGCGGTCGTCAAGGTCGATCTCGAGGTCGGGGACGGACTCCCAGCGGCTGCTCCAGGCCTGCGACAGCACCGACGTGCGGACCACGTCGCCGGCCGGGAGGCCAGCGAGGAGCTTGTACAGGACGTCGGACGGGAGGTCGTCAAGCTGGCGCACGGCCGGCGGCGCTGGCAGCGGCTGATGGGAGTCGCCGGTGGGCAGCATCTTGGCTTGGGTTTGGCTGGAGAGTGTGTGAATTCTCGCTCGCCGTCGCCGATTGGAGAACGAATGGGGGGAGCACTTGAGAGGCACCTCGATCGGCTGATGTGATGACCTAAAGCTTCCAATTTTACCAAGCTAGCAACAATTAAAAGCGAAAGAGTAGTGCCAAATTTGCCAGCAAAACTCACAACGGCAACTGTCAGTTACCCCTCGGCTAGCTGTTTTATTTGAATTCTTACTAGTAGGAGTATGGCTGTAGCCTGTACGAGAGTTTTCTGGCACTTTTTTCGCCGGCGCCGCGCTTTTACATGTTGATGGAAACATGGACTTCGAGCACTAGCGCTCTGGCCGCCCAAGTGACGACTGGGTGTGAAATATGCCCCAAGTAGAAGAAGGTGTTATCCTGATTTAATTTGCTGTAGCAGTAGTACTGGCGCCAGAGCTTCTCAAATGCCAAGTTACCAACGGTGTCTATTATAGCTGAATACTTCTTTTGTAATAAAAATGAAAAATATTTACTCTATTCTAAATTATAAAATATTTTGGCTTTTATTTCTATATACATTGCTTTTGTTATGTATCTAGACATAATGTGTATCTATGTTTTGTGGTATATTTTAGGTTGTGTATCTATGTGATGTCATGTGTGTTTTTTATTGTGCTCTTTTTTATGTGATGTTTAATTTGTATTACTTATTTACTTCTGATTATTGTTTACTTTAATATTTCATTTTTTTCTTTCATACTTCCATTTAATTTTATTTCTACTGTTACATGAGTTTTTCCTTCTTTTTCTGATTTGTTTTCCCCGTTACTTAGCGGTTTTTTTCCATGTTTCATGAAATTTCCTGTAGTACATTTTAGTATAGAATATTATTCTTGTCATGGTTGGATACTCTTTTATTGGACTTTAAATGGTCTTATGTATTTATTAATAAAACTATTTCACAACTAGTTTTGATTTATTTCTCTTTTATTTATATGCATTGACCTGTAGCGGGAACGGCCCATGCCGTGGGAAGCCGAGATGGGCCGGAAGCGCCACACGTGCTGGCGAGAAACCGAGCTGGGCTGGAAGCGCGTAGGCGGGAACACGGGCCAGGTCGCTGGAAGCCATGCTAGGTCAGAAGCATGCACACGCGCGGGCGGTGGTCGGCCCAATTAAGCAGATCGCGGGAGCAATGAGAAATAAAGAGGTCGCATTTGTGGGGAATTTTTTATTTTATCCCCAGGAAAAAATATTTTATTTTTTATCACATAGTAACATGGCGCGACAGATGGATACAGGGACGCCTCGAATATTGGTGTGCATCAGTATTCATGTGTTCTTCAATTTTTGGGTTGACGGGGTCAAGGGCCATTCTAGGCTGTCTATCTAGTGATCCAATGTCTGAGATGTTTTCTCCTTCCTCTGATCTCGGTGTTTCTCAGACTATGGCGCCACATGGTCAGCTCTTGATCGCCATCTACGAGCCACGAGAAGCTGCGCCACATAGTATTGCGGCACAACAAGGAGTTGACCTAGGGAGATCTCGTCAATGAAGACAGCGCCGGCAATGGCTCATGGAGCCTTGTAGAGGCAGGTGTACTCCGGAGCCAAACAAGCTGGTGCGAGGGAAAGGGGCAGGACAGAGATTTGTGTAGACCAGAGCGTGCCATGGCCCCCTTAAGCTAGATAGTTTATTAAAGAAACACTTTTCTCCTGACCATATCATGCGGCACATTTTTTTATTAAAAGGAAGTAGAGTTTAAAAAGATACAGAGACTCACAAGTAATCCTAGCATTACTACACCAGTCCTAAACGACATACCGAGCAGCAAGAGAACGAAAAGGTACAAGGACCCTTAGCCTCATCACCCCAACAGACTGAATTAAAAATAATTAATTCCGTCTCAATCCACTCTAACACACATTTTTTTAGGAACACTTTGTGTTAGATAATTAGACATTTTCATGATCAATTTAATCTAGAAATAAAACATCAGCAGGTTCGTGACGATATATATGTGCATGTGTATATCACTAACAAACGCTACAGCATGTAAGTATGGCATACAGATCGATACAGTAAGTATGCAAAGTACGGTAATCACAGAGTTAAGAGTGTACCCAGCGGAGGGTCCCATGCCGAGGGCATCGGAGACTCCATTCACACTAGACATAGTGCGTTGCTCGAAGTCGTGGACCACAGTCGATGTAGGAAGGTCTTCGCGGTGCAGTCCCACGAACGGTCACCAGGAAGAAGACGCCTTGTTGTTGTGCGAGCGATCACCAGGAAGAAGACGGGTTCCGCGAGCGATCACCAGGAAGAAGACATCGGACGAGCAGTCGCGAAATCGCTCCCCAAAAACCTAATCGCCGCACACCCCATGCTAGGTTAGCAGGCGGACGAGGGTTCTGGAGGCACCTGCTCTCCCGCTGCTCCATGCGCGCAGAGGTACGGGACAGGGAAAGCCAAAAGGCGGCTGAGATGTGATCTCTCGGAAGCGAAGAGAGGAGAGGACTGACGGAGGACATCTACTTCTATGCCTGCGGCGGAGAGGGAGAAAGCCAACGAAGGATCTCAGGAGACGGAGACACGAAGAGACGGTAATTGGCGCAATCAACTCGCCTCCACCATAAAGGAGAGAAACTCCCGTAATTATGTGGATTAAGTGGCAAAACCTGGTCACGCCCGCCTGTCCGCTCGCTCGCCGCCCGCCTGCCATGGCCACGGCCACGGCCTCGGCCCGGCCCGCGCCCGCACCCGCGGCCACGGCCCCGGCCCGGCCGGTGGCGGCGCGCGCGCGCGTGTGGCACTCTTGTGTCCTTTTCTCAGCTTCTCAATTAAGATGAATAATTTCCAATCAAATAAGCTGAGTCAACATTCAATCAAAATTCCGTACGGTATTAAACCATACAACGCTTAATGTTATGAACCATGGAGTTTTATTTGATTTATTAAATATTATATGGGCCATGCCCATAATATATCCAACAATCCCCACCAAACTCTAAGGTTTGTAACAAAGTAGTCTCAGAACCACATTTCTTTTTTATACCAGTGTTTTGATGGAGACTGTTAAGTTGAACATCCATCTAGAGCAATAGTTTCACTCAATCATAACTGAACAATGAACTAAGCCTTGAATTGTTAGTTTTCTGTGAGGTGAATGTCACTAAAGTCCTTAGCTGATACTAGGCTGCAAAAGGCATCCCCTCTATTTGAAGCATATAAGTCATACTCTAGTGCCTTTCATGAGTATTTAAAGACCATCCAAATCTCATAGACTATGACTAGCAGTCTGACTCATATAGGTGTGTTCCTCAAAAGATGTTCTGTAGGACAACATCTTTGTTTTAGCAAGCCACTTGAAACACATTAAGGTAAAAACCAACCTGCCTTAAAAAAAAAAAGATATACATCAGAAATGAGTCTTACTAAGGATCTTTCCTCACAATTTACTACTAGCTTGTTTCACCATCCTACTTCATGGGATCTCCGATCACATAGAACAGGTTACCACTATAGTAAATTTCATGTGGGTCTCAAACCCATCTCTCTCGATGCACTTTCTATCACATTGCATGACAGACCCTTAGTGAATTGATCTGCTAGATTGTTATACGTATGAACATAGTCCAACACTATTACTCCGGAGTTTCTCAATTTTCTGATAGATTTTAGTCGTCTCTTAACATGCCTTGTGGACTTCATGTTATCCTTAGAACTATTAACCTTCGTAATCACAGTCTGGTTATCGCAGTTCATAGAAATAGCCGGTATGGATTTTTCAACAACCAGTAAATCCATAAGGAGATCACGAAGCCACTCGGCCTCAGAACCAGCGGTGTCTAATGCTGTGAGTTCTGCTTCCATTGTAGACTTCGTTAAGATAGTCTGCTTGCAAGACTTTCAGGAAACAGCACCACCTACAAGCGAAAACACATATCCACTTGTGGCATAAATCTCATCAACGTTAGAGATCCAGTTGGCATCACAATAGCCTTCCAGCACTTTCGAGTGTTCGGTATAACGAATACCATAGCTCATAGTGCCTTTTAGATAGCGTATCACTCTTTCAAGAGCACGCCAGTGATCATCTCCTGGGTTTGACACAAATCGACTCAGCTTGCACACAGCAAATGAGATGTCAGGCCTTGTTGCACTAGCAAGATACATGAGCGAACTAATGATCTGGGAATATCTCAATTAATCCCTTGCTATTCTCTGATTTTTCCTCAATAGCACACTAGGGTCATAAGGTGTAGGAGCAGGTTCACAGTCACTAAACCCAAAGCGGCATAGCACTTTTCCACATAGTGGGATTGTAACAGAGTTACCCCACCATCACCTTTTCTCAGAAGCTTGATATTAAGAATAACATTAGCCTCTCCCAAATCTTTCATTTCAAAATTATTAGATAAAAATTCCTTCACCTCCTCAATCACTTTGAGGCTGGATCCAAAGATCAGTATGTCATCAACATATAAGCACAAAATAACTCATTCACCCCCACCATACCGATAGTACACACATTTATCAGCTTCATTCACAACAAAGCCAGCAGATGTTAGAGTTCTGTCGAACTTCTCATGCCACTGCTTAGGAGCTTGTTTTAGGCCATATAATGAATTTAATAATTTACACACCTTGCCTTCTTGACCATTTGCTATAAACCCATCTGGCTGATCCATATAGATCTCCTCCTCTAACTCTCCATTTAGGAAAGATGTCTTAACGTCCATTTGATGAACGATAAGACCATAAGAGGCTACTAGGGAAAGCAAAACTCGAATTGTAGTCAATCGGACAACCGGTGAATAAGTATCAAAGAAATCCTCACCTTCCTTTTGAGTATAACCATTGGTCACAAGTCTTGCTTTATACCTCTCGATAGTACCATCAGGCCTAAGATTTTTTTCTTGAACACCCATTTGCACCCTATAGGCTTGCACCCATAAGGACGATCAACTACTTCCCAAGTTCCATTAGACATAATAGAATCCATCTCACTCCGTA